GAGACAGAGCGAGAAAGAGTGAAATTGTTTTCGTGATTCTGGCTGTAATAATTATACGATCTGGTTCAGATTTTGCACTCTAGAAGATATAGTCATCTTCTACGATTCTGCGTTTTTAGTTTTCTCGTATCGTCGAAATTGTGGATGCCACAGATTTTCGCCCTTTGTGGGGGCGGAAGTGGGCGGGGCAAAGTTTTGAAATATTTTTGGAGCAGTGACATATCACAGAAGTCTGGATCCAAAACATCGTTGCTCTAGCTCTTATAGTTTTTGAGCATTAGGCGCTGAAGGGGACGGACAGACGGACGGACGGACAGACGGACAGACAGACAGGGCTCAATCGACTCGGCTATTGATGCTGATCAAGAATATATATACTTTATAGGGTCGGAAACGATTCCTTCTGGACGTTACACACATCCACTTTTACCACAAATCTAATATACCCCAATACTCATTTTGAGTATCGGGTATAAAAACAACACTTTTCTCTTTGCTGTGCATCTATATTACTAAATCTAAAAGACCAGAAAATTCTATAAAACTAAAAAAGTGTTGTGTGTTTGTGACTTACTAAATTTGCATCCTGCTGCGGTCAAATTTAGGCAGAAGAATCCGAAATGCAACGACTCAAATTATTAATCAATTTATTTGTACTGCCCAGGAACGTGAAGATCGCAATGAACGTGAAAGTATTCGGTTAATAAGTCAGAAGATATTTTAAATTGTGTAAGTTCCAAAAATCCCGATCTTTAAATGAATGAGGAGATATAAATCAAACTTTACTAGTGATCGAAGACACGCGGTAGTTTATTACACAGATTAGGAATGCCTGCGCCAAATCGTGGAATGACCACCAGGAATTGAATTTGGCTGTTCAAGAAAATATACCCCTGTTGAATCCTTAACAAAAGCAAGTTTATGATACATTAATGAAAGAAATGGCGGTTTATATTTCCTGGATGCCCCTGGTGGAACTGGTAAGACATTCCTCATGTCAGTGGTTCTAGCCACTGTTCGTGCGAGATCCAATATTGCGGTTGCAGTTGCTTCTTCTGGAATCGTAGCCATATTGATAGAAGGATACCGTACGGCTCATTCAGCATTAAAATTACCCTTAAATCTTCAAAATATTGAGGACCCTATATATGTAATATTGCAAACATCTCTGCAATGGCCAAGTACCTAACTAAATTCACTGGAATGTAATCCCCCGCAAAGGATAAGTGCACCCTATCTAAAAATACACTCACGTTCTTTTCTATACAATAAAACGAGGGGTAACGTTGTGAGTTGCTGCGGAGACCGCAACTCTACATGTATACCCGATACTGTAGTATGGCTCTCCTCCGGCAGACGCCGCTAATATTGAACGACACGACAAAGACTGCGTGCGAGAGAGACAGAATGTCAGTCTGAGCGTGACGTCGGGCGCTGCGTAGCCACTGCAAATTGATTTGTTCCTTTTGGCTACAAAAATGATCTGATCTGTACCAGATTCAGCAATCTGATAGATATGGTCATTATCTATGATTCTGCGTTTTTAGTTTTCTCGTATCCTCAATATTGTGGATGCAACAGATTTTCGTCCTTTGTTGGTGCGGAAGGGAGTGCGGCGAAATTTTAAGATATGCGTTTTATAGTGAGATCTAACATGAGTGCGGATACCAAATTTGGTTACTGTAGCGTTAATAGTCTCTGAGATTTGTGGATGCACCAGATTTTCGTCCTTTGCGGGGGACGGTCAAAGTCCGATATCACAGGAGTGTGATACCAGATTTGGTTGCTCTGCCTCTTATAGGTTCTGAGAACCTGTGTGTTAGAGAGAGACAGAGCGAGAAAGAATGAAATTGTTTTCTTGATTCTGGCTATAATATTTATACGATCTGGTTCAGATTTTGCACTCTCGAAGATATAGTAATCCTCTGCGTTTTCAGTTTTCTCGTATCTTTGAATTTGTGGAAGCCACAGATTTTCGCCCTTTGTGGAGGCGTAAGTAGGCGGGGAAAATTTTTAAACATTCTCGTAACAGTGACATATCACAGAAGTCCAGATATAAAATGTCGTTGCTCTAGCTTTGATAGTCTTGTGTTACCCAGCCACTTTACATGTCTGCTATTACACATATGTAGATAGCAGTAGGCGCCACACTTATTGTATAATGTGCGGTATAAACACAATAAAAAAAACTCTCTCATTTGAAAAAAAAAAAAATCATTTGAGAGACTGTCAGTTTTGTTCGCATAGTCGAACACATCACAAACTGATAGGTACGGACAGACAGACGGACGGACAGACGGACAGACAGACAGGGCTCAATCGTCTCGGCTATTGATGCTGATCAAGAATAAATATACTTTATGGGGTCGGAAACGACTCCTAATATACCCCAATACTCATTTTGAGTATCGGGTATAAAAATGCTGTTAGCGTGTGCCGCACCCGGAAAGGACGAAAATCTGTTGCATCCACAATATTGAGGATACGAGAAAACTAAAAACGCAGAATCGGAGATAATGACCATATCTATCAGATTGCTGAATGTGGTACAGATCAGATCATTTTTGTATCCAAAAGGAACAAATCAATTTGCAGTGGCTACGTAGCGTCACGACGTCACGCTCTGACTGATTTTCTGTCTCTCTCGCACGCACTCTTTGTCGTGTCGTTCAATATTAGCGGCGTCTGCCGAAAGAGAGCGCTACTGACTTAGTATCGGGTATATATGTAGAGTTGCGGTCTCCGCAGCAACTCACAACGTTCTGTCTGAGTACTCCTGACTATAAGCTATATGTAGCTGACACCGCAGGTAAAACCCGAATCTGCATCATTGCAAAAAGAGATTTACACTTATTTTCGCTCTCAAATTTCAGCAATGAAGAACAAACAGCAACAAAACAGAAAAACAACCCCCTCCACACGCACGACCTCACACTTGCCTCTCATGACATACAAGGGAACATTGTATCCTGGAGGATACTGGAAGAACATTCCTGCTACTACAGGTATGTGGAAACTGTATTCTCTATTCCACTACCGAGACCATTTCAATTGCGAAGAATTGTATCGACATAGAAAAATCCTTTAATAAGCAAGCACTCAAGCACTCTCCTGTAAGGTCTCCAGATCGATATGGCCATTCGGGACACAGGCAGATCGGCATTCGCGCCTCTAGACTTTTTAACCTTCATAGTGACTTCTGCAGAAATTGTCGCGACGAGGAGGAGGAATCAGTCCACAACTCCTTCTGTCATTGCCAGGCCATTGTAAATTGTCGTCTTCGGTTTCTCGGGGCCCCTTTAATAAATTTAATAATTTTTTTAAAAATTAACTATTTCTTAAAAATAAAATTTAAAATGTTTAAAAAGTTTTAAAGCCCCAAATCTATCAAAAACAAGTCGGTTTAGTTCACAGTGTCGAAAAAAAGTTACATTTTGTTGAATAATGGTATTTGTAGTGCAAAACGAGGGGAACGTTGTGAGTTGCTGCGGACACCGCAACTTTACATTTATACCCGATAGTCAGTATGGCTCTCCTCCGGCAGACGCCGCTAATATTGAACGACACGACAAAGAGTGCGTGCGAGAGAGACAGAAAATCAGTCTGAGCGTGACGTCGGGCGCTCCGTAGCCACTGCAAATTGATTTGTTCCTTTTGGCTATAAAAATGATCTGATCTGATCCAGATTCAGCAATTTGATAGATATGATCATTATCTATGATTCTGCGTTTTTAGTTTTCTCGAATCTGCAATATTGTGGATGCAACAGATTTTCGTCCTTTGCGTCGGCGGAAGGGGGTGTGTCGAAATTTTGACACAAATCGGTCAAGGTCCGATATAACAGGAGTGTGCATACCAAATTTGGTCGCTCTTATAGGTTCTGAGATCCTTGAACTCGTATTTTGCAATTGGCAAAAAATACCATGAAATCTGTGTGTTAGAGAGAGACAGAGCGAGAAAGAATGAAATTGTTTTCCTGATTCTGGCTATAATAATTATACGATCTGATTCAGATTTTGCACTCTAGAAGATATAGTCATCCTCTACGATTCTCCGTTTTAATTTTGTGGATGCCACAATTCGCTCTTGTGGGGGCGGAAGTGGGCGGGCGAAGTTTTGAAATATTTTTGTAGCAGTGACATATTACAGAAGTCTGGATCCAAAACATCGTTGCTCTAGCTCTTATAGTCTTTGAGCACTAGGCGCTAATAGGGACGGACAGTCGGACGGACGGACAGACAGACAGGGCTCAATCGACTCGGCTATTGATGCTGATCAAGAATATATGTATATACTTTATGTGGTCGGAAACGATTCCTTCTGGACGTTACACACATCCACTTTTACCACAAATCTAATATACCCCAATACTCATTTTGAGTATCGGGTATAAAAAAAATTACATTTTTTGTTTTGCGAAAAGAATTAGCTGCTCTCTTTCGAAAGTAGTTTTTTTTTTATATTTTAGATCCGCGAGCGGAACGCACACATTGCAGTGCGTTTGTGTGAATAGACAGCAGCTAAAATTTGACTGTTAGTGTTATTGCATTCTTGCTGATCACTGTTGCACATGTGTACGTGAGCGGCAGCAAACTTCCCTATGCACATAAGATATGGTCTTGCCGAGCCCTGTTTTAGATATGAAGATAGCGCGTTTCTTTGTTTTTGAGCACATTTTTTGCTTAGTGTCCGATTATGCGATGGAGCCACTCTAAGATTCGAAAATATTCAGCCAGGCTCCGTTTTTCACATACTTTTGCGGACTACGTTTTCAGCCAGTACGTTTACTTTTCGTTTCACAAATATTTGGTATCGATACCTTTCATTTCTCATCGGTTCTGGCAAACAAAAACAACTGACTTGGTTGCTTTGAAAATATACAGCGTGACAAACTGTGAATAACATGGCATTTGAATATTAAATCAAAACATGAATTTTGTGCAACTACGTTTTGAATTATATGTATGTATATGTATATGGCGAGAAACAGCTCTTCTTACCCTGATGTTCTGTTATGTGCGTGTTACAAGAAACATATGTATGTATATTTCTTGCCAAAGTTCCGACAGCCGAATAGGACTGCGTCAGCTGTCCGAGCCAAATTTTAAGTTGGGTTAAGAAAAAGCTATTTACAAAGAAAGCAAAAGTTAATTTGCTTTGATATTGGTGGGAAGTTTATGTTACTGATTCAATAAGTCATCTATTACTTTCCTTTTGCAACTAAGATTCGTTTTGTTGTATAAAAAGCCGTTTACTTTTAATTTCGTTGAGCAGAAAAGTAAGAAATCTTGCAGATAGTGAAAACGGGAGCACCAATTTATGTGATTTCGTAGTGGCCTAAAATTTAAATATTGGGAAAACAAAATAGTCCTAAAACATTTTCTATCGATTTGAAAATGTATCTTATAAAATCTAAGAAAAATATTCAGATATTTATCATTAAAATATAACTCAAATGTTAAAGGCCATTAGCTAAAGCTTACGATACACCATAAAAGCCACTATTTCCTCACGGGATGCTAACATGTAGATTCTACATTTTAAAAGCTGGGCGTTAAGTCTATGCTTTTTTAGTTGACTTTATAAAGAAAATATCTAAAACAATGCGTTGCTATATTCTTGTTTTTATTATTTTGAACAGTTTAGGCAGTGAGATTTTTATAACTGAACGTTATAAGCTGTATCTACATATGTATGTAAAGATATTTTTTTAAAGCTCGAAATTAGTAAAGGAAAAGCTCTAAAGCCTTTCTTCACACACTTAAATATATTCTTACACGGAGAAATTTAAGTATTATGCTTTTTATTATTTTTCTTGTTTAAACCTACCGTGCTCACAAATTGTTAGAAGTCTGATAAGAGAGACGGGCAAATATCGATGTCACCATGTGATCATCGATATTTTCAAGTATCGAAAACATCGATGTGAATAAGGCCTTCATCGATGTTTGAAGGGATTCAGGATAGATTCATACATTTGCGGGTCAAGAAGCCAAAGAAGTTTTTGAATAAGTACTTATTATAATAATGAACAATACTCCACGAGAACGATCAATACCGGGTTGAAATTAATATTGGTACACTCCTTTCTTTTCAAATAAAATCTTATATATAAAGAAAATGTACATAGAATGACGTGAAATTGGATCTATTTACGTATCCTTTCTGGAAAAATGTATATCCTTAAAGTGGCTCCCTTGGAAATATTTATTGGTGAACTGCACAGTGGGCCAGAAATCAATTTTTTGACGAAAATTGAAATAGTAAAGTTAGTAACTTCAAATTTGCTACACAATATTTATTTTGTGCTACATCGGCAAAAGAAGGCTGACGAGATGCAAGAGAACGATGTGCCGTATCATAATTAGCATGCTCCGACATATATATCCTAGTTTTAGACCGATCCCACCACGGCCACTACTACCGCCCATATAAGAAAAGATTCGCTTCTGTTGATTGTTAACACGTAGTCCATTATGCTAAACGTGCTTTCAACTTTGATAACCATCTTGGACAGAAGCCATCTGACATGAAGACAGGCTTCTCCCGAATTTTGCCAAATACTTTTTATGTGTAGATAAAAGCAGCTTAGTTTATTATTTATTTATTTCTTTTTCTCAGTGCTTATAGTCTAGTCACACTGACGACCATCCACCATCCACCATCCATTTCGGGGATGGTCCGTAAGGTTTTGCCGTTCCCAGTTAGTCTACCATCCATTTTGGATGTTGCTAAACCGCACGTTTCTATGCGACAGCTCGCCGATGGTGTTCAAATGCAACTCTGAAAAATTGTCATTCACAACGAAAAAATGGTAGTTACTACGAAAACGTAAATATTGATTGTGACAAAATAAACAAAAAACAACAACAATCATGCCCAATGGCTCGGATCATTAAGGCTGGCGATGAGATGGAATGCGGCGTTACCGAGTCTGCCAGGCTGAAGTTGCAAGTGTGTAGCGAATAAATGGCAGACGACTGACAACATAGAACAAATATTTTTATGCTTTGTAAATGCTTTATGTTATGCATAATTTATTCTTGGATAATGAGTTTTTTTCGGGCATTATCGAGTTGGATGTGGACGGATCATGTAGCTCCAGCACCTTTTCTGGCAGCAAAGGCCCCACCAAAGCGAGCCAAAAAGACGACACTTCTTGGCTGGCAGAGATAACCAGAGAGCGACTCGAAGAGCAGACGGACCTTAACAGGAAGAAGGAAGAACATGAAATGAAAGAAGGAAAAGATGGTCGAGGACCTCATTAACACGCAAAAAAAAAAATGATTTATTGGAAGTGCTGAGAAATAAAAATAAATAAGGTTATAATACAATATTTTGCGTTGGCAGATCGTATCTGTTCTGTTGACTGATTAAAATTACCAGAACTGTTGCTGCTTTCAGGCTGTTCGCATATTTTGCTATTGAACCGCGGCCGAAGTAATTGCTACATCTTCATCATCCATTATAAGAACAAAAATTAATAAATCTTTCGCTCAAATTTAATGTACTTGTTATTGGCATTAGCTGTTGTTGACGGATGGTGGATGGTGCCAGTGTGAATCGGAGTTTCACATCTGACAGAAAATCCCACCATTCCCCCGGGATGGGCTCAGTGTGCAGAGCCTATTACCAAAGACTATACAATACCAAGATGTTGCATGAGCGACCAAAAAGCTGTTCTATGGCGGGTCCTAACATTAGAACTCAAAAGGCACGAGGGAGCGCGCGGGGTTTCAATTCCCTTTTCGCCTGTACTTTGTCTCTACCGCGACCCCGCTGCCCATCGGTTTCGTCTGTTCGGCAATTCTGGACTCTCGAGCCTTAGCACCGTCGAAGCGGTGGTCGCGGATCGCCGATGTCTTTGGAGCGGCACAGTGGGACCTTTGGCCGTCTCAGCTTGCTAAATTAGTTCAATAAATATTTGCACACTGAAAAAATGTTAAACTTTGAGTGCTTATATCTTCTAAACTAAAACTATCTTGAAAATTCGATTGGAAAATTCTCTATTAGATGCGTACATTAAATTTATCTGAAGCACTCATACAATTTTTTTACAATTTCGACTGAGTCCCCACTGTGCCGCGCCAAAGACATCAGCGACCACGCTGCCCTACGGTTTCGGCACGCAGACGATTCATATTATGTTTTTGTATTCTTTCTCTCGAGACACACCGACTCGACGCTGACCGAGGCATTGACGAAGCCGAGTAGCATTTCGGAGGCGAAGGTAGCGTAAAAGAGAATTGAAATAATAGCCCCGCGCGCCCGTACCATGAAGCGTCAAACGAAAATTGAAAAAGAATTTGTTCCTCATGCAACATCTTGGTATTGTATAGTCTTTGCTATTACATTGTATGCCTTCAGTTTTGCGAAAGTCCAACCCGAAAGCGCTGCGATGCTTCGATTATTGTCAAAGTGGTTTTCATTGAGCAGCTTTTCATAATTGAGCTCAACCTCAGTGACAAATAAATTAAATTCCACACGCTGGATGCTTTTGCATGTATAAATAAAACATAATATTAATATAAAATTTAAATAGAATATTCTTTAATTTCAAAAAATTATGTCTTGTTTTTATTGCATCCCTGGCTTTTTGCAAAGTCTTAAAGTCATCTGTTTGACAAGCTGCAAGCGATAGTAAACTGGGAAACTTTTTGTTTACTTTGAGAGCTCACCAAATTGAGCTAAGTACAAAAACCTAGTTTGCATATCTCGGTGGTGCGCTTCCTGTCTATAGTCCGCCATGTTTGACTTTCGCTAGCATTGTTATTTTATGATAAGCTTACAGGCCATTGGCATACGAAATCCTCCATGTCTTGGAGAAGAGAGATTGTAGTACCAGATCTGTAGAGCCGTTCACTACACTCTAACTGCGTAAAGTAAAAGTAGTACTAACTATTGCTAGATGCATCCTTAAGATAATACTTTGGTTCATGCCCCACTTTAGCTTTCCGGTCATGAAGTTGCAGAGTGTTTTTGAGGGTATTTCCCCGAGAACATAATTGCAACGTCGACCGCGTAAGCCACGTCCCCTCCATTCCAGGTTATAACAATGTTCCACAAAAGAGGAGACAGGACACTACCTTGCGGGGCGCCTCTGTTGACATACCTTGACTGGGCGGACGATGATCATCATCGGTGACCCATCGATGATGTCACCGTCCTGCATATGAGCAATTGACCAATGAGCATAACCAAGTGACAGTCCACCCCCAGGTTAGTCAGGGCTTGCGCCGGACAGCAACAGAGGATGTATAGGTATTCTCAGTTGCAGCCCGACAAGTCTCTCAAAGGTTTTGTGGAGGTAGGACGATAGGCTGATTGGTCTAAAGTTTTTTGAAGTTGAGTGTGAGACTTTCCCTGCCTTGGGTATGATGGCCTTGAGCCAAGCTCGCGTTATTGTACCCACAGCCAGTATCTTCCTGAAGATACATTGCATCCAGCTGATTACCAGGGATTACCTGGTCCGGGCCTGGCAATTTAAACGGGTTGAAGCTGTTTAATACCCAGCTTATAAAGATATTTTGTAAGGATGTGATCCATCGAGATTACCGATCCCTCTCTTGGGAGGTGTGCCAGCTCGATGGTTGTACACACGGGGAAATGCGTGTCGACAAGGGACTCCTCACTGGAGTTGGTCCACGTACCATAATTCTTGTTATGCCTTTTGCCTGTGACGTTTCCTCTATTTCCAAGCAAAATTTTTGCCAAGAACCCCTTTTTGCTTTTCTTGTTTCTTTTTTATATAGTGCCAGACTGATTGTATAGTCTGCCCAGTGCTTCTCCTCCTTCGCGCTTTTAGCTCTGTTGAAGGGAGTCCTGCAGCTTTTGCGGAGGTTGTCTCTTTGTTTTGACCATCTTATGGTGGTCATCTCTGTGGTCAGAGAAGGAATGCTCCTCTAGGACTTCCCAACTATTGATTATGCCTAACAATTTGTGTGACACTACGGTGAGGTCAATAATCTATTGCCGATTTGTAATTATAAAAGGGGGGTCGTTACCCCGATTACAAATAAATAAATTTGAGTTAAGGATGAAGCTGAAAAGTGACTGTTAAGACCTTACAAAAAAAGTCTAGAAATTTGC